CCTTGGGGCTGTCAGGCACTGGAAGGGGCTGCCCAGGGAAGGGGTCGAGTCCCCATCCCTGGGGGATTTAAAAGCCGGGCAGAGGTGGTGCTAAGGGCTGGGGTTTGGTGGTGGGATGGCAGGGGTAGGGGAATGGTTTTGCTGGGGGATCTTAAAGGGCTTTTCCAACCCTAATGATTCCGTGATTCTGTGAAAAGGAATATATAAGATACAAATACATTACGCAAAGTCGATAGGAACGTAGCACAATATAATACAATGCGTTATAATTTAATACATACAACCAAAGAGATGAATTCAGAAGGTAAAGAGACGTAACCTGAAATAAGACCCTGCTGCCTTCTATAAGCTGCAGGAAACCGCGACATCCTCGGAGCAGAGTTACTCATTGCTTTTCTTCGTTTGTTTTCCAAAGGTCCTGGACATCACCCAGCTTGAACTTGAATTAGGTGAGGACTACACGTTACAGTGGAGCTGAGATGTCCGCCAATAAAGCTGGCCCTAGTGCCGAACTTCCTCATCCTCACAAATTGGTCGCCCCTTCTCTTTCGCCATCGTTGGCTCTGTAAAACGCTTTTGCACCGTGAGCACGCGCACCCAGTTCGTATCGAGTTGTTACGTGCAGAAAGCCGTCGTGCTGTGGTGTCGGTCCCAGCTGCACTGCCCTTGGAAAGGGGACTTTGCTTTTTGGGCGTGTCATGATCCACTGTTGGCTTGAACAATTTGGCAGAGGTTAAACCCCCTCGCTTTCCAACCAACCTCAGATAATTCTGGGAGGCTGGGGGTGGCTGGGCTTAACTTCTGGTTAACTCCAATGTTTTATCGTGACTCAGTTCCTTTTGCATTCTTGGGAACAGAATTAAGACTCAAAACGGAGTCAAGTGCCAAGTCACTTTATTTGGCCAACAACAAATGCATGAGAGAAAAGCAGAGAAAGAGAGGAAGAGTGAGGAAGGGAAAGAGGGGGAGAAACAAACAGCACGGGAGTGTTGCAATAGCTACCACCACGGGTCTACGTGTGGTCCATGCGGTCCGTGTGGCCAGTGTGCCTGACGTATCTTCGAAACTGGTGGAGGGCAGATGTTCCCAGACGCTCCCCCTGGTCTCCGCTCGTTTTCCCTTTTTACAGGGCTGTCCTCTTGCATAGTCAGTAACTGTTTTGCATAGCCACGCCTCCCACTCAGCAGTGGGGTACTAGATGGTGCTCGAAGGTTCTAGAGGGCCCGAGCCCCCTCCCCATCGACAGTTGACCCTGGGCCCGGGCGCGGACGTGTCTGCCTTGGTGATTAAACTGTCCCACTCGGTTGTCGTGGTGATTAGGCTTTGGTGGTTAAACTTGCCTGACACCAATGTTGAGACAAGTTTTTAGTCCCTTACAGGGCGCAAGTATAAACTGGGAGAGGAATAACCAGGGAGCAGCCCTGCGGAAAGGGATCTGGGGGTGGTGGGTGGCAGCAGGCTCAAGGGGAGTCAGTGGCGTCCCCTGGCAGCTGAGAGAACTGCATGGAGTTTTGGGTCCCACCATCTGAGAAGGATGTGAAGGTCCTCAAATGCCTCCAGAGGAGGGCAGCCAAGCTGGTGATGGGGCTGGAGGGTACGGCTGAGGACTTTGGGGTTGTCTCGTTTGGAGAGGCTGAGGGGCGACCTCATTGATCTGCGGCTTCCTGAGGCAGGGACGTGGAGAGGGAGGCGCTGAGCTCTGCTCCCGGGGATCCAGGGAATGGTTCAAAGCTGCGCCAGGGGAGGTTGGGACTTGATGTTAGGAGTCTTTTCTTTACTGAGAGAGGGGTGTCAAACTCTGGAAGAGGCTTCCTAGAGGGGGGGTGTGTCAATGCCCCAAGCCTATTTGAGGCACTTGGACAATGCCCTTAATAACATGCTTTGCCCTTTGGTCAGCCCTGGAGGGGTCAGGCGCTTGGACCAGATGATTGTTGTAGGTCCCTTCCAACTGGAAAATATTCTGTTATTCCATTCCCCTGCCTTGCGCGGCTGCTTTTGATCTTCATAGAATCATAGAATGTTTTGGGTTGGAAGGGACACTTAGAGGTCACCCAGCCCCACCCCCCGGCAGGGAGCAGGGACACCTTTAACCAGATCAGGTTGCCCACAGCCCCATCCAACCTGGTCTTGAATGTCTGCTCCTGCCCCGTCACCTACTGGGCAATTGGCGACATCAGAAGAGGTGTCACCAGCAAGGTGACATCTCACACCCAGCCAGCTACTGGAGAACATGTGACATCACCTGCACAAGCTTGGGGCCCGCTCCCATGCTCGCAGCCCTTCAGCCACCAGTGACCTCACCAGCACCCACACAGCAGCAGCGTCCTCCCTGCCAGCGCCCTGGATCTTTCCCCTCCATCTCCCCCTCTCTCTCCCATCTCCCCGCGCTGTCCTCCCTCCCCGGCACCTTTCTCACCCACTCCACCACCTCCCCATGCCTCTCTCTGCCTCGGGGTCTGGAGGGGCAGATGTTACCTCGGAAGCCTTGTCCCAGCCGCGTCACCTCCATCTCCTTCTCCCTCTGCTGCCATCACGGCCACCCCAGCTCTCTGATGCAGTTTCTGACCTCAAAGGACCCTTCATCCCACTTCCCTTCTGCTCTTCAATCCTGTTCCCCACCCTAGAGGCATGGTACACAAGTTGCAAGGACAAACAATTACAAAAAAAGGGTTCAGAGCTCCAAAATGATGGCCCAGGCGGCGGGGTGGAGAGGGAGGGGTTGTGCATAGAGCCTGAGCTGGCCCGAGCGGTCAGGACGGAGGCAAACGATGGCCCGGGTGGCAGGGCACATCCATCACAGAGGGGTGACATGGATTTGGGACACCCTGCATTAGACTGAGGGGGAGTGAGATGGGTAGGGATGCCCTGCATCAAACTGGAGGGGGGTGACACGGGTGGGGACGCTCTGCTTGGGACCAGACGGGTAACACTGGGGGGGACACCTGCATTGGGCTGGGGGGAGCAACACGGGGGACACATACCTGGTTTGGGATGGGAGGGAACACACAAGCGGGGATGCCCTGCTCGAGACTGGAGGGGTTTCATGGGTGGATATGCTCCACTTGGGACCAGGCTGGGGGGCCACATGGATGGGGACATCCTGCATCAGCCTGGGGGGGAGGTGGTGGTGATGTGCATGAAGAAACCTTGCATCAGACCCAGAAGGGCCACCCTGCTTGGGCCCAGAGGGGTGACACAGGGGTGGGTCCCATCCGCAGGCAGGTTTGAGCCACTCCCAGGGAAGCAGGGCTCTGTCACACCTATAGGGTGACTTGGGCAGACAAATGCCGTCCTTCTGCACGTCCCCTCATTCCTCCTTCCAAACGTCCCCTCCTTCCGAATGTCCCCTCTTCCTCCTTCCTCCTTCTGAACATCCCCTACTTCCTCCTTCCTCCTTCCTCCTTCCAAACTTCCCCTTTTTCCTCTTTCCGAATGTCCCCTTCTTCCTCCTTTTGAGCGTCCCCTTCTTCCTCATTCCTCCTTCCTCCTTCCTCTTTTCTCCTTCCTCCTACCTCCTTCCTCCTTCCTCCTTCCTCCTTCCAAGCGTCCCCTCCTTCCTCCTTCCGAGCATCCCCTCCTTCCTCCTTCCAAATGTCCCTTCCTTCCTCCTTCCAAGCATCCCCTCCTTCCTCCTTCTGAACATCCCCTCCTTCCTCCTTCCAAACATCCCCTCCTTCCTCCTTCCAAGCGTCCCCTCCTTCCTCCTTCCTCCAGCTTTTACTGCTGAGCATGAGCCCACATGGTCTGGGGCGTCCCTTCTTTAATCCTGGACACTTCTAGATCATTTAGCTGCAGCCTGTAATAAAAAGACAGCCAAGCCCTTGCTTGGCATTTTGTCTCTAGAGCCCGTTGAGTTTTCAATCCGAGGGTTTGGCACCCGAGTGCCTAATGCAGTATTCATGGCTTGGACTTTTAATATATCCCTGCCTGATATATTTAAGGGCCCGAGCGCCACTGTGGGTCTTGGTGTTGCTCAGCGGGGTTAACTTTATCCCAGCTACCGGGAGCCGTCATCTTTTCCTGGCAATCCTTGTTCTATAAACCCTTTCTCAAGGTTTCTGGCTGAAGGCAGCTCATCCCTAGCTTTAATTGTCAATATTGAGGCTCCTCTGGCGAGGAGTGGAGAGAATATTTCTCATTCGCCACTAAAGGTATACGAGGGCTTTTACTACTATTAATGCCAAAGATTTTGGCCACTGGGGAGGGGTCACTGGACCTGCCTGGGCCAGCAGCTGGGATTTCCTCCTGCAGTTTGCCTTAGTTGGCAATCTTATGATTCGGACCTGCCTTTGCCCTTTGGGACTGTCCTTACCCACTCTTCCTCTTGATGGACCGCCACCGCAGGGGTTCTCATAAAGGTCATCCACTTCTGCAGACCTCGAGGCATTGTGGTCTTCCAGTCACGGGTTCCACCATGCCATATTAGGGCCAGGCTCAGCATCCACCCAGACAGCCCAAGGAGGAGAAAGGCTGTATTCCCCGCAGCTCTACCAGTTAGTTGTCTAAGAGCATCTATTACTGAAGAGAACTGAAATATGCTGTGCTATTCCATTCCATTCCATTCCATTCCATTCCATTCCATTCCATTCCATGATATTCTGCATGACACACTGGTGGTTGTAACCTGAGGTGCTGGGGCAGGGGGCATCTCCTGTCTCTCCAGCAGGAGCTGGGGGTTGTTTTCAAAACAGGGTACAAGGTACCTCATCCACATTAGGCTCAGGTCTCGGTGTTGCTGGGGCAGGAGCAAAACATTAATTTTTTGGTTGACCTGCACCAATCCTGTGAGCATCATTATGGGGGTGCTGTGAGCATTGTCAGGGGTGCCTCAGCCCAGCCTTGGGTTCACCCCCCCAGCGCCAGCTCTGCTGCCCAAAGGTGGCCCCTGGGCATCTGCCCTGCACCGTTGCTCCAAGACAACACCATGGCCTTTCTCATCTCATCACTAAGGGAAACTTTTCTCCCCGACACGGAGTCCTTCTGTCCCTGAAGCCCTTAGCCAGTTGGGCCTTCTTGCCCTCCATTCCAGATCAGTCCTGTAGCCACCTCCTGTGAAGGGGGACTGGTGAAGCTGGCTCCCAGTAAGAGCTGTTACAAAGCCAACTGTTTCTATTGAAGAGACCAGGGCGTTACTGGTCTGGTCTGGGTAGGAATCAAACCCGTGACATTTCTTCCAGGGTTCATTGGGCTGAATTTTGTAGGCTTAGCCAGCCCTCAGTGAAACTGAGGCATGTGTTGCTTCCACCAAGATTAGTTGTCCTGCCCTCTGCTAATAATGGATAATCCATCGGTGGAAGGTGACAAGAGCAGGATGGCAACGGGGTTCCAGCACACCCCATGTGTCACCGCTTTTCCTGCTGGCCCACCAGCAAAAGAGCCTGTAATGCTAAGAAATTGAGGCCATGCAAAACCAAACAAACCACAGGCTGTAGAGCTGCTAAAGATCTCCATGTTGCGCCCGAGTGGTGCTGAGCAGAC